AAAAAAAAAAAAAAAAAGCGGCCTTTTGCTGAAGCTGGAGTACAGTGGCATGATCATGGCTCACTGCAGCCTTGGCCTCCCAGGCTCAAGCGATCCTCCCACCTCAGCCTCCCTAGTACCTGAGACTACAGGTATGTGCCATGAAGCCTGGCCAGTTTTTGGATTTTTTATAGAGAGGGGATTTTACTATGTTGCCCAGACTGGTCTCGAACTCCTGGACTCAAGCAATCTAGCTGACTCAGGCTCCTCAAGTGCTAGGATTACAGGTGTGAGCTACTGTGCCCAGCCTTAGGACAGGAAGTCTTAACCTGAGGTCTTCTTGTTCCATTGACAAGCTTCTAGGTGACCAAAACCCCTTGAAATCGAGACCAAATTTTTGTAAATATATGTAAATGTGTTTTTTTAAGTGGGCAAAGTGTCTATAATTTCATGAGATTATCAAAAGTGACCATGACCCAAAAAGATCTAGCTCCATTGTTCTGGAAAAAAGACTGTAATTACTGGGAAGGAGCTTGAAAAAAATGAGTCCAGCTGGGTGCAGTGGCCCACGCCTGTAATCCCAACACTTTGGGAAGTGGAGGCGGGTGGATCACTTGACATCAGGAGTTAGACCAGCCTGACCAATATGGTGAAACCCCAGCTCTACTAAAATTACAAAAATTAGCCGGGCGTGGTGGTGTGGGCCTGTAGTCCCAGCTACTCAGGAGGCTGAGGCAGGAGAATCAGTTGAACCCAGGAGACAGAGGTTGCTGTGAGCCAAGATTGCGCCACTGCACTCCAGCCTAAGTGACAGAGTGAGACTCCATCTCAAAAAAAAAAAAAAAGAAAAAAAAATTAGTGTCCAGTAGAATGGAAATAGTCAAGTAAATTGTAGTATATCTAGTGATGGAATGATATGCACCTAATAAAAATTAAGTTTATAAAGAATCAAAGGAAGGAAAAATATAAATGATGCAATTTTAAGCAATCATTATAGTTATAAACAAAAGTGCTCAAGAATATTGTGTTACCTGTCAATCCCATCTAATAAGACAGGGTTTTGGAAGACATATTTCAAGAATTACATCTAAAATGTTACTTTAATTCGTCATTCAGTGAAGAAGTGGAGAGGTGCAGCCATACTTATTGAGCATCTACTATGTACCAAATACTGTTTTGTTTATGCACATTTATTTTCTTCCTCAGACTTTGAAGGTGGTCTATCTAATTTGTGTTGATTTACAGGAGAATCTTGACAGTGAACGTGTCTCATTACATTGAATAACAGCTACAGGATGTTCAAGAGCTGGTAGGTGTGAATTGTTTCAGACCCACTGATTTTCAGTGTTGGCGCCATTTGTTCAGTTTCCTTCATGACTGAAATATATCCCTCCTGTCACTCAGTCTTTTACATTTGGAAATGTCTTTATAGTTCCAATTATGGAATTAATGCAGGCTTGGTCCAAAAAAACCTCAGCAATCTAGGAGACATACCGAGAAGGAAGCTAAAAATCGCATCCTCTAGAGTTAATCATTTTTAATGTTTTTTTTGTTTTGTTTTTTGTTTTCTTTTTTGGGATAGTGTCTCACTCTGTCACCCAGGTTGGAGTGCAGTGGTGCAGTGTCAGCTCACTGCAACCTCCACCTCCCAGGCTCAAGCGATCCTCCCACCTCAGAGGGAAGGTAGCTGGGATCACAGGTGTGTGCCACCATGCCTGGCTAATTTTTCCTGTTTTTGGTAGAGCTGGGATTTCACCATATTTCCCAGACTGGTCTTGAACTCCTGAGCTCAAGCAGTCTGCCTCCTTTGGCCTCCCAAAGTGCTGGAATTACAGGCGTGAGCCACCACACCCGGCACTTTGGAATATTTTTGTTTAAATCCTTTTTCCTTTTAGCCTATGGGTCTGTTTTGTTTTTTGTTTGTTTGTTTGTTTCCTGCAGAATAAAATTATAGTAATTGGTGATGTAAATGAATTGAAGACTCTTTAGTTCTTAGTTTGAAAAAGAAACAACCCAGATCTAGGTTGTACGTTAATTTTGAATATTTAGGGATAAGAGGGAAGTGCTAGTGATTCCCTTATTTGAAAACCTTCAAATATGCACAACTTCTGGGATTATAGAAATGTCATTTAAAAATGAATTACCAGGCAAAAAGGAGTTTTAGAATTATATTATATTAAAGGTTACCTCGCCAGACAATGGCAGTAATCTCCAATATAGAGCCGTCTTACAAAGAATACATTTTACAGATAATATTTCCAAAGACAGGTGTAAATACCAGAAGGTAGAATGAGAAGGTTATGGTTGTAAATGTTTAAACCACCAATTTGTACAGAAGAGTAAGACTGAGCCTCTGGTTAAGTTCTCAGCTTGATACCTAATTGGGTTGTATTTTCTGATGCAGCTTAATGATGCTGAATCTCTATGTATCTTCTGGGAGGAAGTGGTATATTCCTCTGCATGTTTCTGAGAACCTGTTTTTCTCACATTGTTATTTAGGAAGAGTACAGGCTCAAGGCTGACCTGTGAAATTTGAGTTCGTGTTATAAGAAAGCAGGTCTGAGAAGGACACGTTTTACTGTGAGCAAAAGAGAGTAGCATTAAGTTTCTTTGTTATAACAGGATAAGGGACAGTAACATTCTTCATTTTCTTTTCTTTTTTTTTTTTTTGTGATGGGGTCTCACTTGTCGCCCAGGCTGGAGTGCAGTGGCGCGATCTCGGCTCACGGCAAGCTCCGTCTCCCAGGTTCACACTATTCTCCTGCCTCAGCCTCCCGAGTAGCTGGGACTACAGGTGTCCACCACCATGCCCAGCTAAATTTTTGTATTTTTAGTAGAGATGGGGTTTCACTGTGTTAGCCAGGATGGTGTCGATCTCCTGACCTCGTGATCCACCCGCCTTGGCCTCCCAAAGTGCTGTGATTACAGGCGTGAGCCACCGTGCCTAGCCATTTTCAATAATAATGATGACAATGTGGGCAAGCCTGCTGGCTTACACCTGTAATCCCAGCACTTTGGGAGGTCAAGACAGGAGGATTCCTTAAGCTCAGGTGTTCAAGACCAGCCTGGACAACACAGTGAGACCCTGTCTCTACAAACAATTTTAAAAAATAATAATTAGCAGGGCATGGTGGCATGCACCTGTGGTTCCAGTTACTGGGGAGGGAGGCTGAGGTGGGAGGATCATCTGAGTCCAGGAGGTTGGGGCTGCATTGAGCCGTGTTTCTGCCACATCATTCCAGCCTAGGCAACAGAGCAAGACCCTGTCTCTGAAGAAAAAAAATAAGACAACTTATAAACAATGATCATATACCATTCAGTATTTTGTATGGATTTCTTACTCTTCTATAGTGAACACTTTTCTCACCCCTCTTATTGATGGGGAAAAAGAAGTGTTGAGAAATTGGTAACTATCAAGCTCAAATTCACATCCTAAAGGTCTGACACCAGATCTTTTATCTCAATTTCAACAGAAAATACCTCCCACATTATGTTAGTCACAAACCTGCCTGCCTAAGGAATTGATCATATGTGTCTTTCTTCATCAATGAATATGAACCAACACCATCATAACCAATGAGGGTATGGTGGGTCGCAATTTATTAAACCTTTTGTTTACTATTACCTAGTTTCTCATTTTTAGTGATCAGAAGTTATTTTTGGTTGAATATCCTTGTGTATTCCTCTTGTGTGCTTCTTTGTTCTTTAGCAATTTCTTAAGGATACATTTCTAGAAGTGAAGTTTTGGGTGAAGAATTTGCCCCAAATGCCTGACCCTGTAATACTTGTACTTAGGGGGTAATACAGTGTTTGGAAGACATAGGTGTTACCTTGGAGACCAAATATGCCTTGGGGTAAGTGTAAGGCAGTCAGCAGCCAGCAACAAAGGCCAGTAGGCAATCCAGGGGACCTGCTTTAGGAACTCATAGGAAGGTAGTTATAAGCAATACTGTTGAATCATGATCAAGCATTTGGAGGCAAATGGAATTTATTCTATAAAGTTTATACTACTACTGTTAGTTGCAAAGTGAGCCTAATACGATCAGGTGATTCAGCAGTTATCTGAAGGATACCATGTTTAAGACAGGTTCAGATACAAAATAAATCTATCAGTCAAGATAAGAAAAGCAGAATCAAAACCTCATTAATGGAAAGGGAACAACAAAAAAAAATAGGCTGGCCACGGTGGCTCATGTCTGTAATCCCAGCACTTTGGGAGGCCGAGGCGGGTGGATCACGAGGTCAGGAGATCGACACCATCCTGGCTAACAGGGCAAAACCCCGTCTCTACTAAAAAATACAAAAAATTAGCTGGGCATGGTGGCGGGCACCTGTAGTCCCAGCTACTCGGGAGGCTGAGGCAGGAGAATGGCGTGAACCCAGGAGGGAAGTTTGCAGTGAGCCGAGATCGTGCCACTGCACTCCAGCCCAGGCGACAGAGCGAGACTCCGTCTCAAAAAAAAATAATAATAAAATAAAATAAAACCCCCAAAAAACAGAAATGAAAAGATGAAATTCCCCAACTTATGCTATGGATATATTAGTATTATTACACTAATATTGTTCTATTAATATATCCATGGCATAACTTGGGGAATTTCATCCATTTTTTTTTTCTAGGCAAGACATAGGCATATGTAGAAATTATACAGTTTGCGTAATGCATGGCCATGGTTACAATGATTATGTGGATTACCTAAACAAAAAACATCATAATGAAAAGATAAATGTTATTAATATATACAGATATGTAATTTTATTTTTTATTTTTTGTTGTTTTCTTGAGATGTATAACTTTCTAAACACTTTTTATCTGTTGATGTGATTGTCAGTCTTTCTGTATTGATATGTATGTATTTTATAAATGTAATCATACCATAAATCTCATAACCTCCTTTTTCTATTGAGTATATCTTATTTCCCTAAGTTAGCATGTACTCATTGCATGATGTTCCGTGTCATGAATATTACTGATATATGCATTGGAAAGTCAGCTTTTTGGGTTCCCGATGAATTCTTTATACATCCTGTCCAGCTCCCCTGTCTTGATCAACTTCCTTCAGTCCTGAACCCATGAAGGACATTCTAGCTTGGACCATGACAGGTATTCCTGAGAAGTAGGAATGGAAAGAGGATGATCTGATCTCCTGGGCAGGACTGAATCGTCAGATCCCAGGTCCAGATTCACATCCTCAGAACCAGACACTGCCAGAAACCTCCCTGCTGAAGAACTTTGGGGTTTAGGTGGAAGTTTGGATTCCATAAATGGCACGTGGGGTGTGTAGCAGAAGCAGGCATGGAGAAGATAAGATCTTCTATTAGCGTAAGTCAGGATGGGATCACTGAGGCACATCTGGTTTAACACTTCGTTTTCCCTCCCCAGTTCTGGCTTTTCTGGATTCTGTGCTTCACCAATAGAGGAATTCCATGGAGCATTAATTAGTTCTTGCAATTCCAGAACTATGACTGATGTAAGTTGGTATTTTTTCTCTCCATGAAATACTGTGATTTTCAGGGCGTGTGAATCTTTTTTTTTTAAATTTTCCTAAAGCCTTCTCTCTGACAGAACTCCATCCCTGAACCCGCTTCTCAGTTCTTCCTATTCCAGTGGTGGATGGTGCCAAATAGCTTAGTGTCCTCCCCTTGTACCCCTCCCCTTTTTAATCAATGTCATATTCATTGAAGATGTTACTTAACATCTCCTGTGTTCCCAGTCTTCTAGTTAGAGCAATGATAGAGCAATGGAGTCTTCTGAGGGAAATACTTAAGCTTCTATTAAGGATAACTCAAAGAAATACAGTTAACAATACACTTTTACTTGTATGCAAAGAAAACCAATAGTGCATTGATTTCCTCCATCAAAGGCACCAACGGGAGTCATATAAAGGAGGAAAGGGAAGAGAATGAAAGACTGCAGGGATTTTGAAAACAGCAGTATTTTTAAATTTAGGGTAAGATGCTGATTTTAGAAGGTGGCTACCAAAGACACTGTCGTTAGACAGCTGGATGGTCACCCGAAGAGTGATGTTAGTTGTTTATGCATTCTCTGGGAGCACTTTCATGTTTAACCATCTTGACTGTCTTGGGTGATGCCTTTTGGTATCACCTCTGATTGACCACATCGGCACCATTTCCCTTACCCGAGTTTCTCATTCCCATGTCAGGTCTGCGTGTGATTAGTTAGTGATGAGGGTCCCATCGGACCACATGCAAAACCTTGGAACTTCTCCATAGACCCAAGTTTTCCATAGAGATAAGATGGACTTTGGGGTTTCTTGGTCTCAACCTCGGTTTATGTGAAGTTGCATGTGTTGGGAGGCGCTTCAGATTAGAAAGAGGGGAGTTAGTGGTTCTTTCCAGGAGTTTCCTAAGAGATGAAGACCAGTGGTCTCTGGAGTCACCAAAGGACTCCATCACCAGTGGATTTTGAACCAGTTGACTTTGAAGTCATTTTGTCATCAACCAGGATGTGTAGGTCATGAGTGACATTTGTGTCATGTGCAACATCCTATATCAATGTCCTCATGTGTCCTGTATCAGCATCCTCTAACTCAGGAACAAGTAACGTACTAAGCGAGGGGTAGTTGATAGTAACAGATAAGATGATGCCTAAGGTCTAGATGATAATATATTTCCACAATCAAGAAAATCTACAGAAGTTTTGTTCAGCCTATATGTACAGATATAATTGAGTGATTAAGCTCATATATTGAGAGGATAAAATGAATTGCAACAAATAAAAAAATTGTTTATTCATCATTAGAAAAAATGCTTATGATGTAATCTAACAGTGATGTATTCGAGTCTTGTTGATAGTCTCTAATTTAATGGGAATCGGTTTTATAAAATAAAGATTTTGTAGTACATTTGGGAAAAAGTTTTCATGTTTTCCTATTTCTTTCTTTGTTTTTGAGACAGAGTCTTGCTGTCACCCAGGCTGGAGTGCAGTGGTGCAATCTCGGCTCACTGCAACTTCCACCTCCCAGGTTCAAGCGATTCTTCTGCCTCAGCCTCCCAAGTAGCTGGGATTACAGGCATCTGCCACCACACCTGGCTAATTTTTGTATTGTTAGTAGACATGGGGTTTCACATATTGGCCAGGCTGGTCTCGAACTCCTGACCTCAAGTGATTTGCCCGCCTCAGCCTCCCAAAATGCTTGGGATTACAAGCATGAACCATTGCACCAGGCCTTGTTTTTATTTCTTAAAGGGGAAAGATGGTGAGCAATTCACTTTTACAAATAATTTATGAGAAAGGCACATAGCACATAGTAAATATGCATGATGTATACACACATGCACTTTTTATTTAACACAGAAGAAACTGAGATTTAAAAAATATATTACCAGACAGGTCTGGATAGCTGAGTTATCTTATAGTATCCGGGAAGTTTTTTCTGCTGTAACAGGATTCTTCTAGAACATGTTGACATTCTGCTTTAGTCACACTGATTTTCTTGCTTTTTCCTACCTATATCAGAGGCTTTCAGCCTCCTTGATTGTTGTATTTCTCCCCCTCTTTGTAGTTTATCCTTCATACCCTCTTTTTCCCTCTTGGAAATGTTTTCTTTAATTTCACAAGTAATACATGGATTTTTGGTTTTAGGGGTTGGTGACATTCAGGGATGTGGCCATCGACTTCTCTCAGGAGGAGTGGGAATGCCTGGACCCTGCTCAGAGGGACTTGTACGTGGATGTGATGTTGGAGAACTATAGTAACTTGGTGTCACTGGGTAAGGTCATCTGCCTGAAATAATTTAGTCTCCTCTTTGCATCATCAGTTTTCTGCACTGGAAATTCCAGGGCTATCTTTGAAGAAACCAGGTGAATTTCTTCTCCCTCTTCCCAAGGGTATGTTCTTATACTTGCTGGGTTAGAAATGGGTTTGTTAAACACATTGATCTTCCCCATCCCTCAGTGAGCTTAACACCATTCTCGGGCCCTCGCTACAATCACCTCTCTCCTTTAATGGCCAAGGGGCTGGATTTGCATTATAGGACATTTATTTCGTAACCATTGTCAAAGAAACCAGATTTCATAAATTCTGCAAATACTATATCGAATGTCTACTTCTGGCCAGCCTTGTGCTGAGCACTATTCATTGAATCATGAACAAGTTTTGATAACTTGCCTATTTTCATGCAGTTTACTTTGTAGTAAAGGAGAAACATCAAATAAGTAAGTGAATAAATAAATAGTGTGTAATGAACCAAATTCTTTGGAAAAGGTAAACAGTGTAAGGGAATAGAAAATGATGGGGACGGACAGGGCTAATTTAGATAAGATGGTCAAGGAACGCTTTCTTGAACAGATGTTCAAGAATAGAGATATTCGAGCTATGTGAATATGTGGGAGAAGAACAGATCAATCACAGTGAACAGCAAATGCAAAGGCCCTGTTGTTGGAAAGGAACTTTACCAGAACTCTAGGGTAGAGTTATTAAAGGAATATGTACTAAGAAATTACGCCAGGGAGATAGGAAGGGGCCAGATAATATATTGTTTTGTTGTTCTTGTTTGTGGAATTTGGATTGTTTAGTCTCTTTCAGTTTGAAACCGTTCACATGTCTTTCCTTGACTTGCACATATGTCTGTGATGCTTTTGAAGATTACAGGCCAGTTATTTTGTACAGTGTTCCTCAGTTTGGGTTTGTTTGCTCTTTCTTCATGATTAGATTTAGAGTATGGATCTTTGGCAGGATTATCACAGAATCGATGCTGCATTCTTCTCCCTGCATTTTGTTGGGTAGTATGAATGATTTGTCATTACTCATGTTATTCACTCTGAGTACTTGATTAAGGTGGTGTCTGCTGGCTTCCTCTTTGTGCAGTTGCTTTTTTTCCCTTCCATAAGTATTTTATAGGGAGGAACTTTGAAACTATTAAATATTGTAGAACTGGGCACAGTGGTGGCTCAAACCTGTAATCCCAGCGCTTTGGGAGGCTGAGACGGGTGGATTGCTTGAGGCCAGGAGTTCGAGACCAGCATGGGGCAACATGGCAAAACCCCATCTCTTCAAAAAATACAAAATAATTAGCTGGGCTCTGGTGGTGCACACCTGTAGTCCCAGCAACTGGGGAGGCTGAGGTGACTGGATTGCTTGAGCCTAAGAGGTTGAGGCTGCAGTGAGCTAAGATTGTGTCACCACACTCCAGCCTGGGTGACAGAGCAAGACCCTGTCTCAATAAATAAATAAATAAATAAATATTGTGTTCCTCTTCAAACTTTCCATTTATTCATATGTTGGATTTCTAGTCAATGGGCTATATTCTGTTTTTTCTGTTATTTATTTTGAAGCTCAAAGTGTTGGCGCTTGTTCCAGATTTGGTCAGTGGGAATCCTTTCATGATATGGCTTTTTGGCATACTCTTTAAGTATCTCCTGATTTTCTGATAAACAAGGTGTCAGAGGTTCATCTTGTATGAAATTTCCCTGCTCTAGTTTTATAATCAGCTATTGCTTTGAAATGCTGGGTTACTTTAAGACAGATTTATAGTTATTATTTTATGCATTTGTCTTTTAAATCAACAAATCAAAAGTACAATAATACTAACTTTTATATTTACTCATGTAGTTACCATTACCAATGTTCTTTATTTCTTCTTATGGCTTCTAATTACTGTTTTGTGTCCTTTCACTTTAGCCTGAAACACTCCCTGTAACATTTCTTCTAGAGTAGGTCTACTGGTAGTCACCTCTTTCGGCTTTTGTTTTTTCTGGAAATGTCTTAATTTTACCTTTATTCTTAAAGGACAGTTTTTGCTGGTGTAGAATTCTTGGTTGACAGTGTTTTTTCTTTTGGGACTTTTCAATATACCATCCTACTACTTTCTGTTCTCCATGGTTTCTAATGAGAAATTAGCTGTTAGTCTTGTTGAGGATTCTTGTATGTGTTAGGCTTCTGCTTTCTTCCTGTGTTCTGAAGTCTTTTTCTCTTTGGGTTTCCATAATTTGACTATAATGTGTCTAGATATGAGTCTCTTTGGGTTTATCCTGCCTGAAGTTGTTGAGTCTCTTGCATATGTGTATTCCTGCCTTTTCTCAGATTTTGGAAGTTTTCAGACATTCTTTCTTCACATTTTTTTTCTATACTTTTATCTCTCTTCTTTTTCTGGGACTCTTAAGATGTGTATGTTGGTGTACTTGATGGTATCCCATCAATCCTTCTGGCTCTCTT